TAGGAGGCAGGAGTATTAAGTATGTTTGCTGCCTTGAGTTATATATAAAAAAGGCGGGATAAAAATCTAACAATAATAATAATAAAATAGTAATAATAATAATGCATTATACATTCCACCAATTAACAGCTCTTGGATGGGTTATACCTGAGGGGACTGAAGAGGAAGGAGAATATTTGTGAACTGGACAGAGGAAATCTTTTTAGATATTGTCCCTACTTCATTTAAACCACTATCCATAACAATCAAGGGAGGGGGAGAAGGAAGTAGAGAAAGTTGTTTATAGCAGTCCCATTGTGTTTGATTTGACTGGGAAAAAAGCCCCCAAAATGCAAGTTCTACTTGTATTTGTTTAGTCATTTTGACATATAAGAAATACAAGATTATACCAAGAGCTGGAAATGTTCTGCTTCAGATAATCTAGTATTTCATGATTTTTTCCATGATTGCTGTTAATTCTAAAAATCCTTTTTAAGCATTCCTTCCAAAATAATGTGTGCTATACATTCAACTTTATGTACTGCACACAGCAATGTATACTGCCCCTCAAAAGCATACAGTATATTATTCCCAGTCTAACAGCTACAGTTCATTTAGCTTTAAATTATAATATTAAACAATAAATGAAACCCAAAAAGGCAATTTTGGGAGTCCAACCATAGTAGTGCCAGTTGCAAAAAGAAATTGCCCAAAATGAGTCATAAAAGCTTACAGTCTTCCTGAACTGGGCATTCTCCAGGTGTGTTTGACTGCAACTCCCAATGGTCCTCAGCTGGCCTGACCTTGTTGACAGTTCCTATCATAGTATCACCTGAAAATGATTCCTCAGACAATCCTCCTGTGCCAGCTGAGCAAGGTCCAAACTCATGATCTAAGCCAGAATCACTCCACACTAGATCTGGAAGACTCTGATTTAGACTCACCTATGCAATCACTCAACCCATGTGAGAGGTGCTAGCAATGAGTGAATTTCAGAAAGGGAGCTGACACAGAGCTGACTTATAAGAGAGAGCAACTGGAAATTAATATCTAGTCAAAAGTAGCCCCATGTCTAAATGACTTTGTGCCCAGAGTAGGACTGATGAGCAGCATCAAATAATACAGAATAATTTCAAGTTCTTTATAAAACTCACTGCTGAGACTAGGATCCATTGCTTATAAGCCTGTGTAATTAGCTATCTAAATATTAAACCCTGGTTTCCTGATGCATCACACTGATATATTAACTCTTCAATGACTGGGAGTCTGCCATTTCTCATCTTTTCCCCTGGAACTTTGCCTATGATATGGAGTGGATTGGCTTTTGACTCCTAGGTGGACTTAATAACTATTTTTTATGTGCCTCTCTGGCTGTGAGTTCCCAAACTTTAACTCCAACTTAGGACAGATTGTGGCGTACTGATTTACAGTATCTTACCACTGAGATAAATTGGGGAGAGAATTTAGATCAAGACATGCTCATTAAGAAGTTTACATTTTTCTCTACACAATACAGAAAAGCTTCAGAAAATCCCCAAACTTTACTTATGCTGATATTTAGCAATTTAATTAAATTCTTTCAGTTGTATGTAGGCCTACATGTAGGCTTTAATTAACTTGCTGATTATTAGAAGAGAATGAAATTTCAAAAGAATAGAAAAGAAAAAAAAATAGTATGTTCCTCCTCCTCTCATGGAATTCCATCTTATACAATTCCCGAGTACCACTGTAAGGCTCTATTTTAGGCTGGATTAGTTAGAACAAATATTTTAAGGATCACAAACTGCTCTGTTCTAATTTCAAAATATATTTCTATCACATTTTAAAAATTAAATTGCCAGCTGAAGAACAGTATTCAGGAATTGAGTTAAGAGACCCTATAATACTTTAGCCAACACTTTTATTATAGTGCATGCACTTGAGGTCATATAAAAATGTTTTATGTTGACCTCTTTATATCCATCTTTAAAATAGCCATTTATACTAATATAGATGCAACTATATCAATTTAGTATCTTTACAATCACCTTTCAGAGTAAGAAACTACAAACCTTAAGCAATCCTTTTTACTACTTTGGATGAAGTGAAAACTAAGATCTATAGTCACAAAATTAAGCAGAGGAACATCACTCTTTCCTAGCTGAAACTTCTCTGCAACTGATATTTCTACTTAATCACTTCCTACAACCTGAAACAGAGAATATGGAAGATTGCATTTGTTGAACCATTCAACACACATTTACAGAAAAATTTAAAATAAATACCATGACTTTAAAACACTTATAGAGCACAGAGGTAAGAAACAGAAAGCCAAATTGTTTTGGATTCTTAAGGTGTACAGAAAAAGAGTAATACTGTAAGCGCTACAAGTAAATTAGGATTTATTTGCATTATTTATAGAATAAATAGAATTTATTTATATTTCAGAGTATTTCCATCACAGGGCATGTTATCAAGTAAGCAAGATATAATGCTATACATAAAAAGTGGTGAACTGAATTATATTTTGCTACCTTATTTATAAACCTACCCACCAAAAAGGAAGTTAATATTAGCAGCACATTAAAAAAAGATGAAATTTCAAAAAACATTGCATCCTCTAGTCACTCTCCTTCCAGTGGTTCAAAAGAGAGATGTTTTATATCCTAATTTCTACAAGACACTGCATGTGTGTATCCTTCATAATTACTTCTTGGGAGAGCAGAATACAACATGCACACAACATTTCTCTTTGATATATATTTTTTTTTATCAGAAAACTCTATGGGGATGTTTTAAAGATAATTTACCACTCATCCACATGTATTACATTTGTATAAGACTTATATTTCTAAGGCCTTTGCTACAGGAGTTATTGCATATTAAAATGATATTCCCAATGTTAATTAAGAACCCAATATTAAACAAACGCCCCAACTTCATAAACAGGAAACACCTGGCTTCATTCACACATAATGCTAGACCATAATTTAACTTTCTTATGGCTTCCAGCAAAAATGAACAAGAACTATAACCTTTGGTAGCATGTCAAGGTTCATATTCCAAAGTGGGTAGAATCAGGATCCAGAATTAAGCTGGGGGGGGGGGGTGGATTTTTAAAGGTGAAATTGGTGCTATAAACAGACTTTTCAGCCCTACTCATTTGGGAGACTGCAAAAGGGAACTGGTGAGCTACATGAGGCCTGTGGGTTGCAGTTTTTCTATTATTGTCTTATATTGATCGTTGCAGCGATTATGGATGAAACAGAGCAGATGAAGGCAAGTAAACACAATATGTTTACTTCCATTTTATCAATAAGATGTGGTTTCTGACTGTCACCATGTTCTATACAATTGCTGTATAAGTTCATCAATGGTCATTAAAAGAATGCTAGCTGTATTTTTGAGTTTAGTTTAAAATTGCTTAACATTTTATTTCTGGTCTATTATAGTGGATAAAATGGATGACCTTGAAGGACAAAAGGAAGATCTGCTACCAAGACAACAATCAGATCTTGTTGTTCACAAAATCTGAACCCAGGTCAAAAAAGTACTGTAATCTGTGAAAATGGTTCGGACAGCCTACCTCCTCCAAATTCTCATGAAGATAAAAGAGGGAGGAAAGGTAGCACATTCAGACTTGCAAGATTCTGTTACTATAGCTGTTCTAATAAAAGTAGTTTAAATCTGCATAGTGTCTGTTTCTTAGTCTGGTCTAGTGGATAGGGCTGACATCTATGCTCTGTTGATGCCATATTTTTTTTTACTTTGGTTGGTAAAGGACCATAACAATACAGTCACTTACTACATTTAAACAAGGCCACTGATACCCTTACCAACAGTTTTTTAAAAAAAATCTGGCTCTGCATAGTGTGAATGAACTCAGCATGTACATTACAATAGGAAACATGGCAATAGTCAAATTAATGGGTAAGTAAGTATAAATAACTTCTGTACATCTTAAAATAGGATGTTAAGTAAAACTGTGTTAATGTTATAACCTAGGAAATTTGTGGGTTTTTTATAATTCTATGCATGCGAAGATTCATAGAAATGATTAACAATAAGTCATATAACAAACACTAAAAACCAACATTATATTGTTCTACTACAGAGACGCATCTGGTACTGCATACTGTTTTCTTGCTAAGATTAGTGTTGTATGTACTGACAGTTAAAGCCTTATTTATTTGCCTGAACATGCCCATGGAACACTTCACAATCAGCCGTCACTAATAATTGTTGAGCATACTCTCTTTTTTATTGACTGTTACTGTATGTAATAGTAAACTGCTGTAATTTTTTTAATTGAATGAAAAATAGTGAATGCGTGTATATAGGTAAATACCCAGGATAAGCAATGTATATGCCTCTTTGAAATTGTGATAAAACTGCA